CAGCACGGTCAGTGGTGGACTGTCACGACCGGTATGGCGAGGCACTTGTTGGAAATAATAATAGAAGAGGTGCGCAAGGGTGGTTGGAGCTACACCGCTGCCCGTGGGGTGGGTGGTGGTGGCAAAACCTCTCATTTTCTTTTTCTCCCCCAGAGCCCCCAAGCCCACAGGAAAAACGTTCCTGCCCCATCGGAGACCTCTGCAGACACACAGACACATACTGGCCTCCAGAACCAGATCCAACAAACTCACGAGGGGGCATTTTAACACCTCATTTACTGACAGCCAGAACTGTCTCAGGCCCCATTCCCGCCCAGAAGCATCCTCCAGCAGAATCTGAATCACATAGAATAATCTCATTAACCTCTCTTGAGCTAGTCACATCAGGCAGTTGCACGCAGGTGTAAACCTTGGCAGGATTTGTCTCTCATTGAAGCTCTTTATCACACTGATACGGCAAAAATGTTACCTGCTTGCAAGAGGTCGAGTTACGTTTCCTGTGGGAACCAAGGTTTTCCTGTCGCTTCTACTTTAACCACAAAATTACATATACATAGCTATAAGTATCACAGAAACATACTTTTAAAACAAAACAAACCTGTTGAGCAGAAAGTGTAAGGATAAATTACCATAACAGTTTAATGGCGTACTTCATTTTCACTTAAAGTGTAGTTACAAAGAAAGGAAACTCAGGCCTGGGCCGGCCAACTGTTTTTCTCTTTACAGGAACCTACAGTAATATGAAGGCAAATGATTTCAAATGGGCTCGATGCTGGGTTCATCTGAGTGCACGCACACAGTAGTAGGATCAGGTCTGGAGATACAATAAGTTTTGAAAAGTGGCTTTCCACAAAGATTTATTATCAACAGCCTGGTTTGCATTACATGGCTTATTTAATGCTGCCTTTCTATGCCTAAGAGCAGCCTCGGTAGGTCAAACCCATTGCCCGTCTAGCCCAGCGTCCAGTCTCCAGATGTAGCCAGTGGTGAATGCTGAGGGAAGAGCACAGGGATGCTTCAACCATCCAGTGATAACTTCCCTGGGGCATCCTCCCAGCTCTCTGCAGCTCAAGGAGTTCTTTGGCAGTGTTTGGTGTCGCCACATTTTATACTCTCTGGTAATTTTTTCCTTCTGTTAGGTTGCCCGTTTACTTTGTGGATTCGTACATGCTTCTGGCCCTTAGTGTCCTCTGGCAGGGAGTTCCACAGATGAACTAGCTGGTTGTGTGAAGACCACCTTTGTTCGTTGGCTTTGAACCAACATCTGCTAGTTTGCAAGAACCCCCTGCTGGTTCTCGTGTTGGAAGAGGCAACAATAATTTCCTATTCATTTCCTCCATTCATTTTTTTATAGACTTCTGTTGTGTTCCTCCTCAGTTTTTGCCAGCTAGCAAGTTCTGGTCTTTTTAGTGATATCACAAATGGAAGCCATTCCATACTTGCCCTTCATTGAACCATTTCTGTTTCTAACGCCTTCTTTTTTAAGACAGGGGAGTGGATTTCCATACCGTGTTCACCATGGGTTCCCCATGCAGCATCATGGCAGTATCAGTCCTCTCCTGATACTCCCTTTTTTTACTGTTGTTGAGTATGAAAATGGTGTTTCTGTGGAACATGTCTATTATAACTCCACAATCCCTTTCCATAGTGGTAATACTACCTCAGAGACTGTTGCTGTGTACTTCTGGATGCTGCAAAGATTTTCAAGCCCAAACTCCGAACTGCAAGTTTTCCAAACCCAATATGTAACACCTTTCTCGTGCCCTTGAAAAATACAGTCTGAGTTTTTTAGAGCTGAGGCTCTGAGCCCAAATACACATTTTCACCATTATAGCTCTGATGTGGCTCCACCATAGTGTCCCCTCTCTGCTTTGAGCTTATATTTTCTTATAGTGAGTTTTGTTCTTTGGTTTGTTTTGGTATTATACCAGAAGACCGCTAAAGAAGCAAAAGTGCTAACGACAAGATTGTGAATCCTTGAAAACTGGTGCATCTCCTAACTTTAGGGAAAATAATAGCTTTCATAAAGCAGTAAATGCCACAGGAGAGCTTCCTGCTAGTTTCCAGGGTGAAGCACCGCACCGCCTCACCTTCCTTTTCCTTCCTACACAAGCAGAGGGATGAAAGGGTTGCTTTCTTGAGGAAGAAGTCTCTCTGGCTGTGGCCAAAACCACTCTGTTCACATGTTCATCATGCTCTTCACCAGCACAGCGTACTTGCCCAGTTTGGAAAGTCTAAAGGTTAAAAGACCAAACCTAAAACCACTGGAAAGAAGATGAGCGGTCTGTTTTACCTCTTCCTCACGGAGTGAAACCAGCACCCCTGAAGGAGACAAAGTGAGACAGCCATCGAAAATCATAATGCAGATGAAATGCAAGGAAGGGCAATTTCAGCCTTGTGGATAGTCACCCTACACACAGAGCAGTAAATGACTGTGTCTTCTAATGGCAAACTAAGTACAAGCATCAAAAAATCTGAGTCAGCTCCATCTCTTTGAGAAGAAAGCGGGAGAAAGCTGTGGGGCCAGTGTGCTGCTTTCTGTCACCCTCAGGCAGAGTTGCACCCGTTCCTGCTCTCTGTGTCCGCAGCAGCGGAGGGGACAGAGGAGCTATAGTTTCCTGAGCAGTTTCAGCATCCCTGAAAGAGGGAGGCTGAGCCTCCCTTTCTCCGGCCATTTGTTCCTATCCTCTGGCACCACGTCCCTTGTGTCAGCATAAGCGTTCATACAGCTGTGCAGTGAGCCAGGACTTACTCATAGCAAAGCTAAGGAAAAAAAATTTTGATGTTACTATTGATCAGTTCCCCGGGCTGGTTCATCGAGTGCCTGCTTGAGTGGTTGTGTTGATGGTGGGGGGGGGGGGGGGGGAGAAAACGGGGGGGGGGGGGGGGAGCGTAACCATAGCATTACCTCTTGGAAGCTGTGGCTTAAGCCAATTTCAACTCTCGGTGGACCCGTAGGGGTAGAACTAGAGAAACTTCCTTCCTTACCGGAAGAGGCACTGTGGGAGTAATGGGAACCCAACATTTATGTTCTGGCCACAAAAGAAATTCCTTGCCCTCTATTTTTTTTTTCCCCAGTTCTTTGAAATCGTCTTTGTTTTATTCTTTTCCGCACTTAATACACTGGGGCCCTAATCACTGACCAGAGATGTAGAGGTCATCAACTGTACTAACTTTTTAAGAGCTTAATCATCAACAGTGTTCAAGGAGGTGAGTAAAGAGACAGGAAGTTCTGAATTTTCATTTTGTTTCTGCTACTGATTCATCCCCTAGCCTTGGGGCATCTCATTTCCTGCCTCCACTCCCGTTCTCTATGTGGAAA